GTAACACGAATGTTCACCTACAAGACATCCATTTACTTTTGACGCTAAATATGGATTACAGTGTCCAGTGCTTATGTCCTAGTGACCAATTATTCAAATTTGGACAGTCGTACTCAAATGAAAGAATCACAAAACGCAACTTTCACCGGACATTCCGTCAGAGAGATTTCCGCTGCTTGCTCATGAGGGCTGCTTAATGTTTTTAGAGAACTGACAGGCGTGCGCTTGAAATAAGCGTACGCAATTCTGGCCTAACATTTTTTTAAAATTTTTGTCAGGCAATTAGCTATCTAGATGATGGCTGCTGAGATATATTAAGGGTCAACAGAGGGATATTGAACGCAAGGAAACAATGCAAAGGCCAGTTTTACTAACCCTGAAGTATATGCGCAGCCAGAACATGCATATCATTTGTTCTGCCGATTAGGCGACCGCTGTGGAGGTCACGTCGCAGTTGCAGGTACAGAAAGTATCTGTAAGAGCAAGCATAGATTGCGAAAGATCAACTTGGAATGCGTGGTTTAACACACACATATGAGGTTGTTTATATTATTCATTGAATTGACTTGAGGCGCAAAATGCTGTGTACCAGAAAGGAGTTCAGTTTATATGAATTTATGGAAAAACAGTACACCCAAGTCCAACGTCTCTTGATATGCAGGCTATTTCCCATGCTATTGAACGCTGCGGACTAAATACTCTTTTTTGTAACTGTTTTACTATTAATGCACATTAATAAAAATCTGAAAATTATTAATTATACCCGTTCAGAGAACGTAAAATTTCGTTTTGCATTTATGAAATTGAGGTATGTACAAGTATGAGATAACGCATTATGTTCGTGAAGAAAAGAACGCATTCATTTAAGAACATCCTGTTTTGCAAATCTGTTACTTTTGTGCCAGAATGTTGAGTTATAAGCTGATGAAACTGCAAACCTCTTTACTACGCCAGAATAGGAGTCGTACTCAGGCATGTTTATGAAATGACGCGATATGCCATCAGTTTTCTCTGTCACGGCGCACGCCTAACAAAGCCTAGAACAGAATCTTTGATTATAAACTCTTGAAGTGGAACGGGTAGGAGATTATTAATTTTCTCAAAATGGTAATTTATAGACTGCCATTCGGCTACGTTTTGTAATCTTAAAAGAGGACGTAGAACTAAATAAATATATGCCAAAAACTTCTCTGGTTTACATGGAAAAGTGAGTTCTTTCCTCTCAAGGAGGTGGTATATTCCCAATTTAAAGGGAAGTTAAAAAACAGGTTTAAAGTTTCCGCCTGTATCTTGACTTAATGTGTAAATTAAGCAAAGGTACGCAGATATTCGACACCAATATATCTAAATAAACCTTTTTTTCAAGAGGCTGCTTATTATAGAAAGTCCTTAAACTGATCTTGGACATATTATTGTCAGACTATTGTTGAAGATTTTCATTTATGCCTGCTAGAGTTGTTATAAATCCATATCCCAAACAGAAAGATGCACAAGAAACAATGCTCGAAAACTCACTATTCAGGTAAATTTATTTAATAATTATCGTATTCCAAAGAATTTGATAAGCACGTATAACAATATACTTATTTATGGACCATCATACGCGTAAGAGAGAGCAGAGCGGCATCAATGATTATAAAAACTTGAAATGGAACAGGCAGAAGATTATTAGTTTACTTGAGATGGTAGTTTATAGGCTGCCAATCTGCTGTGCTTTTGTAATCTTAGGTCTGAGCCTAGAAGTAAACAAATATGCCGAGGACTGTTCAAATGTGCATGGAAAAAATAGTGCTTTCAATTTTAGCAGCCGATTTATATTCGGTGTTTTGAGAAGTCAAAAAATGGTCAAACGTTTCCATTTTTAATTTGACTAAATCTACAAAAATGTTTAAGTACACAGATATTCGACGCCGATATATGTAATTAAAGCACCTGTTCAAGAGGTGAATAGTTACAGAAACTCTTCAATTGACCTTAGGCATAACAATATCTGACTTTTGTTGTGCATTTTCATTTTTTGGCATTGATTAACATGTTTGGTATTTCTAAATCAATAACCCAAACAGAAGCATGCATTAGGAATATCTTATTTCGGAGAATTCGATAAATTTGCATAACAATATCCTTATTTAGGGACCATCGACTCAGACCACTGAGAATTGTAAAGGGTTAACCAGCATTTCAAGAACGATATGAACCTCGTTGTAATCGAAATCCCGGAATAATTACAAAGACAGGTGATGGAAAGAAATGTCTTTTAGTGTGCATAAAATGGTACGTATACGATTGCACGTGACAATTCCATTGAAATTTATTAGTCACTGACTGGCATCTCCGCACGTGAGCTTACAAAGTATTTTACTCCTGCCACCTTCCAGTCCGCGCAATCAAGCGAAAATCAGGCTGCCTTGGTCTAACTGAAATCAAACAAGGTATAAACGGAAGAAACAACTACTGATTTTCGTGAAAACATGTTGGAGTATATGCTCGAACTTTAGGCTGTTTGGTAACAGCCATATGTGGCATTGAGCGTAATATGGAAACGTACGTATCCGCTTATTTTGAAAAATAATTATTTTCCAACAAAATCCTACTCGTGCTGCCTTATTCATTCCTTTTTGTATGAACAGGCTTTCTCTAAAATTAAAACTTAAGTTTACCTAGTACTCTCCATCTCCACTTTCCTAAAAAACCTGGTATTTCTAGACAGCGCAATTATGCTTGATAAACCGCACTATGCCTTCATTTTGAGAACTATCGTCCCTTAACTACTGTACGGCTTTGGGGGACGCAATTTGAGCTGCGACCTTCCAATCGGCGTAATCAAGCGAAAATCCGGTGGCCTTAGCCCAACGTAACTCAAGCAATGTATAAACGAAAAAAACAACTAGCAATTCTCGTGACACCATGCTAGAATACATACTCGAACTTTGGGTTGTTTGGTTACAGCCATACGTTACATTGCGCGTAATATGGAAGCATATGTGACCAAACATTTTAAACAGCGATTACTTTCCAACTAAATTCTACTTGTGCTACTTTCTTCACGTATTTATAGCATGAACAGGCTTTCTTTTAGTCGTAAATTTAAGTTAAGCTAGTACGCCCGAGTTCCACTCGTTTTGGACGCTAGTAATTCTAAACAACGTAATATTATTTGATAAATCGCAAAATGCCTGATGTTAAAGAACGACTAGTACTCATATTCTGTTTAATTTTGGACTTCGCAATGTGAGCTGTTTTAACGTAACACGGAGTTTCTTGTACAAATTCTTGGCTTTTGTGATTGAGCCGACCTACTGCATATACAGCATTCAGTCTTAGCCGAAGGTCAGACATTAGCAAGCAATTTTTTTCACCTTAGCAGGGCAAAATTCAGCAAAGGTTGGCAGATAGAGCTAAAGCTCGTTGATGAGCGTTCGCCTGACCGCTAACGGGACTCATCTGTCCCGCTCTGCCTTGGGTCTCGACATAGGCCCTGACGGTCGCAACGGCTGCTAGTATAGGCAGATGGTATTGTCGGCAAAGACAAGGGAGACTGTGACTTTTGTCTCTGTCGGTAATGCTATCTGCATAAAGATAAATATTCGTTGAGTTTTTGTACAGAAGAAAATAGAATCTTCCTTACAGGCGCGTATAGAAAATAGGATTCCGAGGTTTTGCACAGTATGTTATCTACCCCTTTAAATGCCACCCACCACTGAAATTCTGAAATGTGCTCCCGACCTGAACAAATTACTTAATGGTTGACGATCGCGCGGCCTTATCTAAATATATTTTAGTCCTTCAAGGATTCTGGCTTTAAACGTGGATTCTTTCTGATTGCTTGCAAAAAGCGTAATATGGAGAAATAGCTACCTACATTCTATGCATTTTATTGTCGATTTTAAATGTTCATATTGCTTCAGATAAATTTAAAGGAAATATGCAAAAAATATCCCTTTGTATTCCTTTTTAAAAAAACTATTATATATATTAAATGAAAGGGTGTTTTCGTTTCAAAAAAAATTTCTGAATTGCTAAATAATTTTGAACATGAACAGTCGATATACTTGCCATCACGCTTTCCAAACTAGAAGCTGTGTAATTTGCGTCAAAGTAAAACCATACATTGTGAGCAAGATATCCCATAGCGCTCATATAATTTTTAAGTGCATGTGAAAAATTGTGGATGCTTTGTGAGTAGCAATAATAAATGAATAGAATTGATGTTTATGTATGGACATTTCACAGCCTCAAAAATTTCACAATTGGAAAATGCTTTTCAAGAAATACCATATTACTGCTTCCAACATAAAGCTTGAAAAAGGCGTAATATTTGCCAAATAGGGACATGCAAGAAGAGGTTTTTTGCGTTTATTCTATCAAATGCACTTGAATCTATAATAGCATTAACAATCCATCAGGCAAAACGCATAGTACCTTAGTGGCTATTCTTAACAGAGTATGCAATTTTTCAGTTGGTCAAAAAGCATTTCGTTCAAAAGTCTGTAATCTGTCATGATTTAAATATATTGAGAGTAGTTTGCTCGATTATTCAAAGGTTACGACCCCAGGTAAGTACTTTGTTCAAAGCGGAAAAATATTTCAGGATTTCAAGTGTCATTCAATGAGGCAAGGGATGTGCCGCACCTTATGTGCAGAAGGCCATGGTACGAAACTGAATAGAAAGAAAACTGCGGGAAGCTTAAAAAAACAGACACACTGTAAGGACTAACCTGGATTTCTCCTGTTTCAACTCCTCCAGCGGCCGGGCTGGATAATGTTTAACTCGGAAATTCAGTGAGCGTGGAATCACATCTGTGGAAAAAATAGGAATAACTACTACTAAAGTATGAAAGCTGAACTAAAAGCAACCTTAAGAAGATCAACAACCTTCTAAAAGGAATGAACAGTTCTTCTGCAAAAACGTAGATAGTTACATATTTGCCGACCCTCACGGCAACAGTAGCTTATGTAGGCCCAAGCAGTTATCCCTACTCCCTGCATGTTGTCCTACGAAAACGGTGGTTATAGGGTTTT